TCTATCATAACAAATGAGGTGAAAAATTATTAAAAAATATATATGAGCTCTGGTGAAAATGGTTACTGAGACATTAGATTTAAAAGTTCCAAAAATTCATTCACTAACTCAGTAAATAAAAACATTGGTTCAAGTGACTTGACCCAAAGAGTTGTGAGTTCAATCCCTGACCCTAACGGAGAATAAACTGCTACAAAAGTGGTGGATCACTTTTCTGTTGTTATTAAGTAATAAATTGACTCCCCCTAATAATTGATGACATGAGTAACCTAGTAGTAATATTAGTATTACCAATGCCATCAATTCTTATACAGTAATTCAAGGGGCGGCCATTTTTTAATTTAATAGCAACAGAAAGCGATCTCCCACTTTAGGACCATAAAAATATGATGTTTTGTGATTTGGTCACATTATGGGAAGTGGGTCGAGCCGAGGACTTTTCAGCTTCGGACCCAATCCCGCCCTGTATATGCTATCAAATACAATAACTATCTCAACTGGAAAACAGACAAACATTTTAGCTTCCTTTATTTATTTTTATTTACTTCCCTTTTCTCTTTACCCGATATTTTTTGTCGTTTTTATTTCTTAGTCTTCTACTTCATTTTCTTCCACCCCGCCATTTTTTTTCTTCCATTCCCGTTGATACGAAAACATTTATTTTTCCAACTGAGTGTTTTTTTTTTTTTCCAATCCACTCCCTTATCCTTTTATCGACCATTCTGCCCATATTCACCTGCATATCGAGTGTTCGACTTTCTAATCATAAATTGACATAAGAAGCCAGAACCAATATGGCTGCGATGAACCCAGCTTCGAGAATTTCCTGTTCTTAAGGCTCCACCAAATCACGAAAGAAATGTCACCATTGTCATCCGAAATCCAAGCCAATACACTTTATTTGGTTTAAGCATTTAATTAATAAACGTAATTTGATGTTAACTGAAATTGTTGGGATAGAATGCTAGCCTTATTTCTCTCGACAAACATTGTCAATCTGTTGTATGTCGCAAGCATAAAATACCGGAAGTCGTCCCCTCTTACGCCATTTAGAAACGAGCGTTGTTATTCAAGGTTACTGATCTGACTGGACTAACAGTTAGGTTAATGAAGAGGAAAGAGAAAATTTGCCAAACAAGCTTTTTTTTTTATATCTTTTCTGAAGGTGGCTCTTGAGTTTGAGAGCGTTCCGAGTCACTCGGAGACATTACAAATAAATAGAGACAATTTGCTTGTTTAGCTCAAATGTAAGCACATCGGGTTGATTGGTAGTCAAAGAATTTGAGATCTCACTTCCAAAATAACGGGTTGGTAATAAATCTTTTTACGAGTTTAATTGTATGAAAAATATCAGTTATTTTAAATCACAATAAAAGGACTTGTTCGATTAAACCATAAGATGAAGAATTAGCTTCGTTTTTTTACGTCTGTACAATTTCTCGGGATATATTCCAGTAGAGAATAATTTCAAGGGAGAGAACTCAACATAATCTTTATTCAAATAAGTAAAATAATGAATGTATAAGAAAAAAGTTGAAAGCCTAAAATAAAATTATTGTATGAGAAATGCTAAAATAGTTGAATGAGGAGACATGGGTGAGTAGTGTAACGGATATCTGGCACGGTAAGTGGAATCGGCGTTCCGTGTTCAAATTTCAGTCTAGTCTGTTGCATTCAATATCACATAAATACCCTTGGGAAATGTATGGATTCACATGTTCTTCCCGTTTTCTGCTATGGGTTAAATATCAGCGTAGAGTGGGCTCTCTACCTTTGAGTGGCAACCAGTATAAGAGAAAGAAAACTGAATTTTCGAACCGTCGAGAAAACAACAATAAATCACTCCCCACCCTCTGTGTTCCAAGGATGCAATGGCATAATAAAGGAAAAGAATCTGTAGAGAATCATGGTCGCCAGCGTTCTGAAGGGACATAGCATTAAAAAAAATAGTTGAATGAAGACTACTCTGTTACTTAAATGTCACCTCCTGCAACTTCTGTTCGGCCGATGGTGCTACTCCTTGTCAAAGAGCAACACGTGACTTGGTTTCACGACCACATAAGGTTTTTTATTGCACATTTAGACAGACAGACTGACGTAAATCGTACTCAATTTGGAAAGGTAAAGCGAAGTCGCTGTTAGTGACTAATTGTGAAACACTGGTATTACGGTTCAAGTAACCAGATGTCTTTTGCTATATCATCATCATCCTCATCCTCATCAGTCACATGAGCGGTTGTAATGGCAGACTCATTGCGCAGTTTAGCACAAAAATAAAATCTCCACCATCACTCAATAAAAAATCCATCACTTCCTTATAAGTTGCTGTATATATATATATGTGTGTGTGTGTGTGTGTGTGTGTGTGTGTGTGTGTGGGTGTGTGTGTATGCGTGTGTAAAATTTTTAGATAGGATATATCTGTAAAATATAAAAAAAAGACATATATATAAGTGTGTGTGTGTGTGTGTATGTATGTATGTATTAGGCAACATATCCTCATTCAAACATGTTTCATTGAATAATATAGACATATTGTCTCTATTTTTATACTGATCCATTTCAGTTGTCTAATCAGTTTCTTGATATTAAGATAAAATTCATCAAGGAAGGTGCCGTAGTTTTTTATAACTCAAGTACTTTCGACCTTTTACAAGATCATCTTCAGGGTTAAATTACAAAGACAAACTTATTGCAACTGCGATAAAATCTGCATTCCGTTGAGATGGGGATTTTTAAAAACGGACGCGAGCGGACTCTGTTATATATGTCTATATTGTTCAATGAAATATATATATATATATATATATATATATATATATATATATATATATATATATACATATATATAGTCATTTACAGACAAACTGTTTCGCTGTATCACAGCTCTTCAGCGTGACTAGACGTCCGATTGCTTCAAGCCAGGATCGAAAATCCGACCGACCGACCGATTTGATCGATTTATATATATATCATATATATATATATATATATATATATATATATATATATATATATATATAGTTAGCCTAGGGTAGAATATAACGAACACAATTCCAGTTGGGTTCGTTATATTCTCTGACGCGTAAATACCCTTGGGGAAGGTATGAGGCCACTTCTTCCCCCACTAAAAATAAATAAAATAAATAAAATAAAATAAAATTCTTAAAATCTAAAAGAAATTTCTGGCTTTAAATAACATGAAAATGGTTGATAAACCGTTGAAAACGAATGAATCAATCAAGCCAAACGGATGCTTGCTCAGGCCCAAGTCTTTTCCCAAAATCCACAGCGCCAACAGGCATTAATTAAATTTTCTGTGAGAGAGCACATAATCTGGTGTAATCTGTAGTTGAAGAAGGCCAGTACGGTCGGAACTTCGGTCACGATGACTAGTGACTTTGTGCTAACAAAACCATCGATGACTTCCGGGCGGTTCCATCTACCCATTTTCACTAACAGTGCTTGCGTCAACTCGTCTGAAACTGTGTTCAGAGGACCTCAGCTACAGTTTCTAACAGAGAACGCATAACATGCTGTTTTCAGTAGTTGAACAAAGTCGATACGGTAAAATCTTCGTTCATGATGCTCGCGCGACCATCTCCAACTTCTGAACAGTTTTGCCGATCCAATTTCATTCACAAAGCTTGGATCAAACCGTGTTTTGGTTTTCAGGCTTTTCCTAATGGTGCCATATGCTAGAATCGTTTTCCTAGGCCATTTTTTAATCGTTTCACCCCATGCAATGGAGTAGAGCTACTCAGACACAAGGGGTTATTGAGTGTGAAAGAATAAGAAAAAAAGAGATAGTTTATTAAGGAGTGAAAAGAATAGAAGAGTAATCAAGAAGACAGCATGGTTGATACTCGACTCCGGGAGAGCGTCTCACTGCATCTTCTTGGCTTCATGCTTTCGACTGATTTGAGGTGGAGTAAGTACATTGACAATAGCTGCATCTACTACAAGGAAAGTTGGTTTTCTGTGTCATGCCAGAAGGTTTTTCTCATCAGAGTCCATCTTACACATCTACAAGGCTACTATTCGTCGGAGAATTTAATACTGTTGTCATTTCTGGTCTGGTGCCCCAGCTGTTCATCTCGAGGTTTTCGACAAAATCCAAAGAAAGATCTGCAATATAATCGATCCTGACCTGGCATCTCGACTGCAGTCACTTTCTCACACATGTGATGTGGCTTCCTTCTGTCTTTTCTAGAACTATTTTCATGGCAACTGCTGTGACAATCTTTTTTCCTGGTACCCCGACTGCATGAATTTAAGCATGCTACTAGATTGGCATCTAGGTCCCATCTTTTTACTGTTAAAAATAGTTAAATGTAACCGCCACGTCTACTCCAACAGTTTCTTTCCTCGCATTTCCCGACTGTGGAACCCCATTCCTCTTACTTGCTTCCATTATAACTACAATCATCAAAAATGCAGAGTCAACCGCCATCTTTTGTTGACTTGAACCACGTTCATCTTATGTCCTTTTCTTAAACCGCCCTATACCCAGCCTTTCTCTCATTTTAACTCTCTGTAACCGCGCTGCATGCTAATGACACTTCAGCCTTTCTTGAGATGAAATGCTTTTTTTTTAAAAAAGAAGATACCGATTGACATTGCATTTAAATTTTTCAAAATCAAAGATGGCCGGAAATCATAGAGCCGGAAGAAAATTCCACGAGCGAGAAAAGCCGGTTTCATTTCTTTCACAAATTAACCATAATGAGACCATTCTAACCATTTGGTAACAGCCCTAACCTTATCCCGGGCCAAAGCTCTTAGTAAATATCTATACAAATCAAAGCTTTCAATTTGTTCTTATTTATTTTATTCTATTATATTTTCAGGTATGGTTTCAAAATCGAAGAGCCAAGTGGAGAAAAAAGGAAAAAGTCGGCCCGCAAGCACACCTCTACGGCCCATATTCGAATAGCTTGAATCTTGGATTGGGACGAGTCGGTGTTTTGCCCAGTCAACAAAGCTACGCTGACCTTTTGATGAAATCCTACGAGAGTCATATTTTGGGACGGTACAGCCTGGCTTCAGCCCAGAGCGCCGGCGCCCAATTCAGCTCGTCGACGGCGGCTGCAGCGGCTGCAGCTGCTGCCGCTGCCGCAGGCTTTTACAGCCCGATGGCCCTAGCTGCTGCTGCCGCCGGACTGTCATCTACCTCCCCAACTCAACTCAGATCATTTCCACCCCTCAGCACGCATCTGCCACCGCCTCCGGGTTCCTTTCAACACCTCCTGGCGAGTATGACCTCCACAGCAGCGAAAACACGAGACAGCGGCACAAGTAGTAGCAGTAGCAGTAGTAGCAGCAGTAACAGCAGTATTGGTAATAATAGTAATAATAATAATAATAATAATAATAGTAATAGTAACAGTAACATTAACAATACTAACAGTAATAACAACAACAACAGCGGTAGCAGCGATGGTAGTGGTTCGGCGGAAAGTGGCGGAAATTCACGAGGAGAGCCGACGACTCCGACGTCACCAACGTCAGCTATGACGACTAATTCCGGACTGACAATCTCTTCGGGAAGTTTTTTGGATGCTGACAGACGTTCATCAAGTATCGCCGCTCTCCGAATGAAAGCTAGGGAACATGAACTCCGACTTGGATTAAACGGCAAATGCAATAGCATTGTTTACTGAAAACCATACGTACACACAACTGAGTTATGTATAAGCACAAACATGCTCTACGTAAAACACACAAACACACACACACAAACATCTTGATTTCTATGAAAAATTATTGCTATACTGATTGATCTAGTCAGACTAGTATCCTCATCTTGATTGTTATAGTCAAAACTCGGGGTTCATTAAGAAGTAATCAAAGTAGACATATGCTTAGGTCACCAAGAGAGAAGTGGGTAGAACTTTTTTTTCAGTTATGTCTTTTAGGCAGTGCCGGATTTACCTATATGCATTGCAGGCTGGAGTCTAGGCCCTCAAAATCTCGGGGTCCTCCATACAAGGTGTATAATATTATGACACTGTCATAGGCCTTTCTTACACATGCTGCCATAATGCATTGTAGATTCTAAATAAACCTTAAGTAATTTTAAACACCCGTTATTATTATTGGCTTTACTCAGATTGTTTAATTTAACACTCTTTCATTTTCCTTACTCATGAGAATTGAGTATTTGGAGGTCTTACAAGTGGAAGAGCCGAGGGCCTCTCTTCATCTAAATCCGGCCCTGTTTACAGGGACCAGATCATATTTGCGATATAATCTAGCAAACTAAAAACAGCTGTAAAAAGTTGTGAAAGATATTTATCCAATTTAGCTCATTAACGCATTTTTAAAACTAAGAATACAGTATTCCGTAGTTTTTTTAAGGTTCAGAAATTTTATTTTATACGCGTTCCAGACCGTCTCTGGATGTCCAAAATTATCTAGGTTAATTCCAGACCCACCCACCAGAGTATTTTGACTTGGAGTGGAGCTTAAACCAGGCGGCCCGCGAATAAGAATTTGCACACTAAAATTAGTTCATATCATTTTCACATGAGCAGCAAATTATTTTCGGTGGGGAAAAGGGCTGAGTATTTTGAGTGAGGAACGACCTTTAAGCCAGGAAGTGCCACGTGCAAGAATTTGCACGCTAAAATTAGTTCACATCATTTTCACGAGTTGGTTGGTAGTGTAATGACTTTCGGTGGGGACCCCAGTTCACCCTTGACGACGGGCCTGGTTAATTCCCTAATTCAGGATCTAACGATATCAACGAATTGTATTTATTTTAACGTCAGGTATGATATGGATTTTGTGAAGTACTCAAGCGTCCGATCCGGAATAGACAGGCGTGCCCAGCTATTTAGTCCCCCCCCAACATCCTCATTTACTCCAAACCCCTCGTTCATTTTATTTTCTACTTCTTTCCAGTCTGTCTGCTTATTCTAACCTGCCCGTTTATTCCAACTTCTTTTCCCTAAGTTTTGTTCTGAAGACATTAATTTTGAATTGATTTTCCAACATAAACTTTTATACCAAAGCTACCCGTTTATTTCAACCTACTCTTTTATTTCAACCTACCCTTCTATTCCGGACTTAAGAGTCACAAGTAAATCCTTTGGTTTCCCATTATTTAAATTACTTTTGTATTTACAACATAAAGAGGTAGATATTTTAAGCATACGAATATATTGTATTACTAAATTAAAAAGGGTAATGCTAAGCCTGATTATTATAAGAAAGGCATCGTTGTTGGATAGTTTTTAAGACATTATTTGACTTTAATCAGTCCTTGATTAATTACTGGTCATTGTTTCGGCTGTTGTGTCTTCCGGCCTTCTTCAGGTGTCGATTATATTTGTTAACCTTGAGAATTCTAGCTTAAACGCTTTATTCAATTTATGGAAGTACGGTGGAGTAATGATAGGGGCTAGGATTGAGAAATCGGAGAGTTGAGTTCTAATTCCAGTCGAGTAAATTGCATTCACTTACCGGCTAATACCCTTGGGAAAGGCATGAAACCATCTCTTCCTCCAACTATAGGTAAATAGCAGGATAAACTGGACCCTATAGCCTTGGTGGGTAAACAGTCTAGGAGAAGGAAAACTCTGAATTCAAACCACCTTCTACCTTTTAGGTCCTGCCTCTTTAACTTCTGGGAGGATGGGTGGAAGTAACTTCAGCATCTCTCGTGCAAAAGGAACCGGCAAGTCATTGAATGTCTCCATGAACCACAATTGTGAAATGGAGCGGTAACCACAGCGGCAAAAACTGCGCTAACTGAATAAATGATGATAATCTATGGATATAGGTTTTTCTCACTCCATGCTAGTAGATATCTTTAATAACCCTCTCAGCAGGTTAAGCATAAAAATGAGCCCCATATAGTAGACTTTGATTAAGAAAAGACAAAAATTAATTTTACCGCTTCAGTATCCCACTATCTGGTTTTTCCATCCATGGATGGTCGCGTATGTAAAGGTGTTACGTATGTAATTATCTGGTGGTTGTGGTTTCGATATCTGGACCAGCCACTGAAAAGCAAATATTCTGATTTGGTAAAGAAAGCAAAAACGTCACCACAAATTGACTAGAACAGATTACAAGATGTCATCATATCGAAATTTTCCGGTCACCAAATATGGCGGACAACTAAAGATGATCGGAAGACGGAACGTTCAGGGGTTTACGACGATAACACCCACGATAAGGACGTTATTCTGAATGGATTAATCAACAGTTCGGCTGGTCACGTTTTATACCAGAAAAGAAAAATCCCCAGACATAGTTTGGCAAAAATTGTTACTTGAAATAGAAAAGCTAATATAAAAAAAAAACCCTAAGAAAATAATGTCCCATAATGGTTGTTAGATTTTGTGTCTAAAAAATGTAAGCAAATGTAACAACTCTTATTGGACAGAGGTAGTATTTTTTAGGTGTCTATTATTTTAAGAACACATAAGATACATTTACACGTAACTGAGTATAAATGCACACATAATGTATATTTGCGTATAATGGCGCGAAAAACTGATATAAACTTTTGTAACTGTTAGGTTAACATATCTTGGGTTTTAATTAGTGTTTTGTACCTCTCCAACTCTCTCTCTCTCCTTCCATTTCTTTCTCTCTCTCTCTCTCCAACTCTCCAACTCTCTCTCTCCCCAACTCTCCAACTCTCTCTCTCCCCTTCCATTTCTTTCTCTCTATCTCTCTTTTAATATGTTGTTTTCACCAAAAACTAAGAACACCGTAAAAAAAGTGTACAATGTTCAAAAGAAAAAAACAAATGTATTATATAAATCGTACGTTTTTCGGTTAATTTAAAAATCGTTATTTCACATTATATACAAAAAAGAAAGAAAAGAAATCATACTAACAATAAAATAAAAGACGAAACTAATGCACAACAATTGATTTAATTCGCCAATTAACAGGAAATATAAGAAAGCAAAAAATTTGGATTGAGCATGCACGCAATCTAAGAAAAAAATATTCAGTGACTATTCTCAAGAACTATAACAACGAACTTCGCCTGGAACTAAAATCGTTATCAACCCGCCATTTGTACAGCGACTCGTTTATTACTGCATAAATTGTCGACGTGCGACAAATTCTGCGGTAACATTTGGCTTGTAATTTTGAGCGGCTATAAAACTGCTCACCAAAAATTCTCATAAAAAAAGAAATGAAAAATAAAAAGGTTTTCTGATTAGTAGACTGTTTACTGGGTTTTTACTCGGTATGACTCTCTCTTAATTTTTCCAAGAGGCTCATGGGATTTGATGATGTCACAATTGAACCATTATGCCTGAAGTAGACATGTGTATCTCTAGCAGTGTCATTTCTCAGCCTTCGGGATCAATGCGTGCTATCTATTCTTCACAGTGGAGAAAGCGTCTGGTTTCCAATCTTGCGGCAGAGGGAGAGCTGGTGGATACCAACACCAGCGTGACTGGCTCGTATATACGCGTATGGGCACTCCGCATTAAAATGACCTTGTGTCACATCCTATCAAAATGGAGAGATGGGTAAATACCTACCACTGTTGTACTTGCAATAACTATGACTGCATCTCTTTGAAAGCCAACAAGTAAAAAAAAAAAAAAAGAAAAGTGAAAAAGCAAAAACAGTTTTTTTAACCTTTATCACTCTGTATGAGACATTATTTGCTGTACAAAAAGTTTATCCTGCCACTGAATTTCATAGTTGTGTTGTCCTATCCTGCTATGGCTGCAGAAAACAACTTTGAGTGAAATTAACAATCAGGATACTGCAATTGAGAAGCATTACAAAAGAATGAAGTGAAAAGTAATGTTAGTAATGCAAAGTCCTAAAGGTTAACTGAACGCTATATGACAAATTGTACATTTGAAGCAGTTTGCTAACACTAAAGATTGCTACTTCAGCCTATGTCCATACTATAAAGAAAAAGTTATCTCCCCTTTCTATTCCTTAATTAATTCATTTAAAATGTTCAGATGAAAAAAAAAATGACAACAAAAAAAGAAAAACAATGGATTAAAAACAAAATATAAAAAAAACGAACGAACAAACGTCGAAGAAAACACCGATAAATTCTTGTCAATATGTTTAATTTTTTTTCTTACCCAATTTGTTGAAATATATGTATTTGTCAATGTCCTAATGAGTCTATGATTTCTACTGTTGTTTTCGTAATTATTTGTGCTTCACTTTTCTGTTTCAGGATTCGCTCTTGTCTAAAGAAGCGAGTAATATTCCATGATACGACGTGGGGTTAATTATAATAAGTTTTTATATTTTAAATTGATAACAATACATATCGAGATGGTCTCTAACGTTGCCAGGAAATTTCGGCGCACATCCAAATATCACTCATCATCTCCACCTTGCAATCCTTATACTCGAGTCGGAACGTTACTAGCCTCTCACTATTCTATCATTATTTCTACGACAGATGTTCGAACGAGTTACATTCCCTTAGTTCCGACCTTCACAGCAAGGTCCTGCAAACTATCCCTATTGTCTTCATGTTCCTTTGATAAGGAGCAAGTTACACCAAAGCAGCTTCTTCCTTAGAACTGTTAGTTTGTGGAACAAAGTTCTGAGAGTATTTTTCACTGGCAACAACAATCCTGGTCTCTTTAAATTCGGAATCAACCAATATCTCATCCTTATATATTTCTTACTTTACAACAATCTCATTCAGTAACCTTCTACCTTGAGTGTCTCTTGAGCCTTGTACTGGGTGAACTTCAGTATCAGCATTTCGTCATTTGTTTCTTATCTATGATGTCTTTTTTAAAATAGTGATGAGAAAGTGGTTCTCCGGATAGTTTTTTCTTTTTGAATAAGCTTTTATGGAAGGCCCTTTTTTGTGTTTATTATGCAAGAATAAACATAATCTCTTAATCTGATGAAACATTATTCCCCTCCTCCCGCGCCAAAAAATTGATTAATCAAGAAATATGAATAATAATCAACCCCTGCAGGAAGAAATAGATAAATAAATAAAGGGTTCAGTTCGAAATTTCCTGAAATTTACTCGAATCGACAGACAGAAGGCTGGAGAGCATAACGGCCGAAATATGTTGATAATAACAACAAAGACGAGGATATGGGTTCGAATATAAATAATGCAATCCAAAATTAGGTAGAAATAAATGTGCTACTTCTGTAATCGGGGGTTTGGGCATGTGGATCACGGTTCGGGTCTGGGTGATTCAGATTGAAGAGTTATACTCTCAGTGAACCTGACAAAAATATAAGCAGGTCTAGTCGAGTGTTGTCCATTAGGAGGTCGGTTGCCTCCTCCGGGTAAGATTGTAAGCGTCTGTGCAGTTAATAAGGCCCGGAGTTCTTGTTAAGATGTGTTTTTTTTTTTGTTTTGTTTTGTTTTTTTGTTCTGTATCTGTTTCACTGGAAATCCAAGACGATACGGATTCACCCGTCGAAAATAATTACCAAACGAAAGAGCGCGATTTAATGAAAAGATAGTGGAGCTGATAAAAAAAAAACAAGACCTATCAAACTTCAGTTAACTTCAAGCAGCCTTTTGGTGTGAGAGTATTTACAACCTGGATCTTCACATACGATAATAATCATTTTAATGGCGATCTCGCAACCATTACACCTTAATATTGCTTTAGATATTCCATTCCTTTTCAATTGCAAACAAGTGTCTGCTATTGGCTACTGCTACTAATGGCCGGTTTTTCACACTCTCGTATTATCAATTTCTTACTGCAACTCTCGGCTACCCCTGGTGATTCAGGTCTTTCTCGGTAATTGCGACGACGTCTCTCTCTCTTTCTCTCTCTCTTTCTCTCTTTTATCTCTCTCTCTCTTATCTCTCTCTCTCTCTCTCTCTGACGTGGACAACGTGAAACCCGAGCACGATCTCTCTTCTGTTACCTGTAAGAATTGATTTTTATGGAGAAGTGACCAAAAGGCTTTAACCTCGCAGGTGTTTCTCGAGACGCAAAATTTCTATTGTCACGGGTCTTAATTTGAGTTTTTCCTTCTCATACCCGATCTAGCTTTCAACACCTGATTTCTCAGGAAAAAAGAACAGAAAGGATGCAAGCCAACATAATCCATTTCGGACGAATGGTCATAACCTAATTCTGTTTTTAATTATTTCCTAGCCAAGTTGTTCCAGCACGTACTAATTTCATAAATGTTGAATACAGATGTACTGTTTATTTCAGCACGCTGGGATAAATACGTTTTTTTTTTTCAGTCGTCTTGGATTTGACACATTCCATTTTGATAGTGTTTGACCCTTCGGGTTACTCGGAAATTATTTTGCCAACGATAACCTCAGTTTCAAGCCATTCTGATGCTCTTTCCAATTTTCATTTTATGGTTCTAATTAATATTTTCGAACTGTTCTTTCTTTATTTTAAGCTCTCATTAATCCATGCTTTAATTACCATTTTTCTTAATCTATTAGCTTAACACTCTCACTGCCGAAAGTCACTATTTCCAACTTTATGCACCAATAAAACTTCAAACAAGGTCGTCACCTGGTATGAGAACTATTGTTAATATGTTCGGAGCCAAAGGAATGATGTTTCCATTTTTTAATACGCGCCTTGTCACGATTTTGATCATTCGACACATTGGCTGTGATGAACGTCTTTCCAACAATGCCATTTAATCACGGAGAAGTCACCATTGTTCTATTCTTGACCTACACGTGCTAACAAAAATAAATAATATCTTTCTACTGTTTCCTATATCAGATTATGTTATGCAAGTTAATGGTTTTGTAATAAAATTGATATTAATCAAACTGTGTTGGTAAAACTTTCAAGATAAAATTATATTTATATGATAAATATAAAATATACCATGGGGAGTTCATCTTATAATATATATTTTTAATTATTTACAATTGATTGTATGAGATTTTATCATTCAGCTTGAGGATTGTTCAACAAATTTATATATATATATATATATATATATATATATATATATATATATATATATATATATATATATATATATATATATATATATATTTATATATAGGATTATTCATATATAAATATATATATATATATATATATATAAATTTGTTGAACAATCCTCAAGTTGAATGATATATATATATATATATATATATATATATATATATATATGGTAAATTGTCGTCTAAATTACGCAAGAATGAAAATAACACTGAGATCTTATTTTAACAGATATATTTACCAAAATGACACAAAAATAGCTTTAAATACTAAATAATAAATTTATTCAATAAAATCGCCATTGGCTTCAACCACTGCCTCCAGATATCTTCGGAATCTGCTTGAACTCTACTGGGCGGTCTGCTTGTTTCAATTGTTGATTGCTGCCATAATCCTTGCCTTCAGGTTCATCTTTGGTGCTACAAGGAGTTTTGTTAGTCTCTTGCTCAACCGCACCCCCACACATAAGAATCAAGGGAATTTCAGTCTGGGGAGTTCAGTGGTCAGATATAAAGGCTAATTTGGCCGCAGAAATTTTCTGACAACGATGACTGGATTCTCTTGCTCGTGTGACATGATGTAGAGTCCTGTTACCAGACATAGGGTCTTCCAGCAGCCATACTCTTGACCCAGGGGAGCACTACCTTCTCAAAGCACATGATGTAGGCCTCCGTGTCTGAAGCTGCATAGAAAGATGAATGGAGGCATAAAGTTGCAATCACTAGTGATCCCTCCAAAAACCTTCGTAATCACCATTAGACTCATCCAATTCTTTCCGAATCCTCTGCACTGTCCTCTGATCGACACCAAAATCCTGAAATGTTTATATTGGAACTTCCAGTGTTCATGCCAAGCTGTACAGAATGCCGTTTCCAAATTTCTGGCTGTGTGAATTCCCTCATGATGCCCTTTTTCTCACAGACGGTGCCCAACTGACCCTACGATACTGTGCAGTTGACAAAATTCAAAACAAATAATACACTTGCGCGAAGTTTAAAATATAAAATGGCAACAATTTACCCATCGCACCTATATATATATATATATATATATATATATATATATATATATATATATATATATATATATAATAAAACTGAATATTTTTTAACGAAATATTAGATTGTGAAACGTTATATAAGCCTTATATTCAGAAAAAAATTTATAGGTCGCATTACAGAAAATATGTACAAACGAGAAAAGAAAAGTGTATTTAAAATCAAAGCAATGAAATGTTAACAATAGCATTATAAATATAAGAAGATTCATTTTCTGAGATGATCGAGTAAAAAATGTCAAATCAGAAATGGACAATTGAATGACAAAATGGAAAAAAATCCTATATAATATGTTTTGTTTCTTAAAGGAACTCTTTCAGAAAATTAATATTTTAGTGATAAAATCATACATTGCGTGTAACAGCAAAATTATCTAAATTGTTAGATTAAGCTTTGAATCGTTGTATCTTAGAAATGATTAAAGATATCTTACTGGAATTCTATGAGGTTTTTATAACTCTATTGAATTCTACTTTGAGCAATAAGAATGTATAATTAATCTCCAAGCTTAACAGAAGAATCGTGATGAAATCGATCATAAATGAAAATGACATGTTCCTCATTAATTAATCGTAGCCAATGATCGGAAGCTCATAAAGAATTGATATAAAGTTCAAATATATATATTATTCTAGAATCATTTTCCAACTTATTCAAGATGATCTTCGCCCTCTTTAATCTTCTAACTTTCAGTCCTGGAGTAACGTTACCTCACAGGTTTCACGTACGATTTCATTTTCAAATCTTTTTTACACTGCTCTTTGGACTGACATAGCTGAAACTCCTCTCTCACGTGTCAAACATCAATTGAATTGGATTTTTCTAATTGAACACTTTAGCTCGAAGTTAAAATGATGACCCCTTTTCCTGTTGTGACCTCCTGATCCAGCTTTCCTCTCAAGTGTTCCCTCTTTTTAAAACTTATTCACCGTTCTCTCGATGGTTCTTGAATTGACTTCGAAGACGGAAGTCAGAGTATGAATGTTGGTACCATTACTGAAGACCTGAATGATCTTTTTCCTCTCATCATTGCTCATTTGGGAAGACAGTGGGTCTGAAACAAAACAATTTTAACCTGTTCTCTTTTTAGCTGAATAACTCAGAGCGATTCTTATGACAATGATTGTAAGACGGCTAGACGTCTTATCTGAAAACCTGGAAAAAAGATAATCAGTTAATCTAGTGTTTTTTAGATATTAAACATTTTGTGGGTTTGACAATTATTCCATGCTGTTAAACGATTTGGATAATTTTGCTGTTACACCCAGTATATACAGGAGGAAAGAAAAGACAGGGTTTCCAATAATGATGGGACACATTTTAAATTCAAGTATCTTAGATTATAAAAAAAAAATGATACAGACTACCAAATATATTTATTACATAATTGATATACAAGAGCTCAACATATTATCTAAAATTTGAATATTACATCGCTAGGTGTTCACCACCACGAGAACATGCACGATCTTACTCTCTCATTTCAAACGTAGTTGGCATTACCTGTCCCATGGAAGTTTGTAACAGCGCGCAGTATCACCTTTCGGGATGGTGCCTGTCGATTTCCAAAATGCTGTTGGAATTTCCTTTTGGCTGCAACGATGGATCTTTGGCTGTTGAAGTATGCTTCCACTACGTATGCAATTTCTTTTGGAATCCACGTCGTAAATAGCAAAATCTTAGATAATATATCGAACTCTTGTATATCAGTTATATAACAAATATATTTGGTACTCTATGTCATTTTTATAATCCAAGATGTTTGCATTTAAAATGTGTCCTATCAACGTCGGTTGTAATTAAACATTGAAAGAAAAACCGAAGATGCAGAGTCGACTACTTTTACATCTTTAATTTCTGCCGTCCGACGTGTCTAGATGTATAGCCTAGCCGATTTCATTCAGATTCTTACTGCTTTTGTTTTTTGAGGGTTTTTTTTATCGCTGTTGTAGCTGTAGTTTTGTTAAGAAAGGTGAAATGCTGTATGAATCTGAAAGTAAATTTGTGGACGGTTTATTGGATAACACCTCGGAATGATAAATTGGACAGCCGAGTTCGAATTCCAGTCGGGTTTGTTACATTCACTTACGCACTAATACCCTTGAAAAAGGTGGGAAACGATCTCCTCCGCCCAGCAATGGGTTAAAGAGTAAGACACGTATCTCGAAGATCTTTGTTAATTTCACTAAATTATTAATGCAATATCCATTCGCGATAAAAGAATTGTTCTTATAATTCAAAATATGTTTCGGCTTTAGATAGCCCACAAAGCCGTAAAAAAGTCCAAGAAATCACTCGACATAAACGTAAATTTATCGTGAAAGGTTCAGGAATCAGTGCACATTCTATACATTTTCACCTTATTGAATTACATTCTCTTTTAATTAAAACTGTATTCTATGTAGAAATTATGGTCAGACATATTCCAATGAACAAGGGATCTTTAAGATTTAATATGTGGTATGCTCCTCACACACATTTAGCATTTGATTAAACTCCGAGCATCTATTTTTTTTTATACTATGACGCCGTGATGAGTAAATTTTGGCGTGTTATGTGCATTACTTGAAGTAAAGGAAAAGTAACAGGTTAGAAAAGTGCGCATATTTCTGTCACCGGCATACTGCAGTCAGCACCTTTTTTGGAATAATTAGAGATACAATTTTGTTATATGATTTTTTTAAATCAATTCGCCCCAAGCCAGGCGAAATGCCACTAAGATGAAAGGGATTACTGATAGTGAAAAGAAGAAGAATATTTTAGAAGGAACCAGAAACCAAATCCTAATATAGAAACAAGGGATACACTTCTACTGTTCAAAAGACAGGGGAGGAGTGCGAACATGGCGATAGGTATATGATTCTGTATTTTTGCCATCATCTACAAAGATT